TGGATGACTAAAATTAACCGGGTGGTTGTTTAAAAGTCTTTAAAATGGTATCACTCTTAGAAGAACTGAAATGGAACTTTAAAAATGGAAAAGATGCACAAGAAGGGAGAGGTTCTTTTGGCTTCATATTTCTATTCTTAGAAATGGAGATCTGGAACTATGAGAAACAACAAGAAACGCTTGCAGAACAAGAAGATTTGGACAAAGAAGAAGCCATCTTTAATTATCAAATAATTTTAAGTGGGGGGAAAAAAGAAAAAGGGGGAAAGAGAGTGAAAGGTTTAAGACTAGAAAAAACAACCAAAAAGAAGAATAATTTGAAAGATAAGTATAATATTAGAAAGCAACAGAAGAGGGGATTACAGATGAGAGAGTTAGAAGTAGAGAGACGAGGGGGTAAAAAGGGGAGGGAGAAGAAGAGGGGGAAGAAGGCAAGGAAAAGAAGTTGTAAAAGACAGAAACAAGAAATGGAGAAACAGGGAAAAGATATAAGGATTGTAACCATAAGCTTGTTTAGAGATAATGGGTGAAAATTTAATTGCAAAAGGGATTCTGCAAAGGTACATAAGATAGCATTGTTATATTATAAACAGAAATAATTTTAGAAAATATGATTAAAATGATGGATAAAATATTTAGTGTAATGTAGTTGAATGTTTGGTAATAAATAAATGAATTAAAATGATTGAGAGAATTAAATGGGAACATTTTTAATTATTAGTAATGATTTATAAAAATATAAGTGAGAAATGTGGAAAAAAAAGAATTAACTATGGAAAGTTTATAACTGTTCCCAAGGAAGTATGATATTTAATTGAAAAGAAATGTTAAAGATGTTAAGATTTTAATGAATATTAATGATAGAATTGAATTGGAATGGAATGTGTGCTTTATTTACACATATATATATATAATTTTATATATAATTTTTTCTTTTTAAGAATATAGTGTGTATTTTAAGAATGTACCAAGCAGAATTCGATTGGAAGTTATGTATTATATTGAATGCTATAATCTTAAAGGATACATTGAAGCTTAAATAAGAGTTTGAATGGATAAAATTAAAAGATATAAAGGTGTCATACTCCAATTGGTAACTACAGGGAAAAACTTGTTTAATAAGAAAAGATAATATGAAATTAAAACAGGACAGTCAAAAGTATAAATATAATGATTTGATTGAGATGAGATAATTAAAATAAAGTTGAGAAAATTAAAAGAGGGGAAAAACTATGTAGAAAATATAAAACGATAATAAGATATGGAATAGAATATAAAAATGAGCATGAAATTGAGTTTGGTGTCTGTATGAAGAAGTGATAACCTGGGACCATGCTATTTTCAAAAAAGATGTTTTATTTGTATTTTGTTTTTGTGAAAACCCAAATAAAACTTTCAAAAAAAAAAAAAAAAAGAAAGGGAAGGAGTGGAAGGGGTAAAATAATGGGGAAATCCACCAATCAGGTACCACAGTAAGAGTGGTCCGAGCAGAGCAGATGATTACAGGTAGTTCTCAACTTACAAGGGTTCGTTTAGCGACTGTTCAAAGTTACAATGTCACTGAAAAACGTGAGTTATGGGAGTGGTGGGATTCATTTTTTTTAAACTACTGGTTCTGTGGGTGTGGCTTGGTGGGTGTGGCAGGGGAAGGATACTGTAAAATCTCCAGTCAGAGGTGGTATTTGCTGGTTCTCCAAACTACTCAAAATTTCCACTACCGGTTCTTCAGAACTGGTCAGAACCTGCTGAATACAACCTCTGGTTATGACCATTTTTCACACGTACGACTGTTGCAACACCCCAATGGTCATGTGATCAAAATTCAGATGCTTGGCAACTGACTCATATTTATGATGGTGTCCCGAGGTCCCACCCTTTTGTGACCTTTTGACAAGCACAGTCAATGTGGAAGCCAGATTCACTGAACCACCATGTCACTAATTTAATAACTGCAGTGAGTCGTTTAAGAACTGTGGCAGGAAAGGTCATAAAATGGAGCAGGTTTTACTTAATGGAAGTCTCACTTAGCAACAAAAAATTTGGGCTCAATTGTGGTTGTAAATTGAGGACTGCCTGTATAATGTTATTGTCCCTCCCTCTTAAATGTTATACAAGTCCCTTCATCCCCTCATTTGATCCATGTCTTTCTTAATCTTCAAATCTGTACATTCTTGCTTCTTTCTTCTGTTAGCAAAATGTTCATATAAGGCAGTGGTAGCTAACCTCCTGTGCCAAAAATTGTTTGCGCTCACACGCTCGTGTGCCAATATCCAGAAGGCGATGCGTGCAGTCCCACCATGCCCCCTGAGCATGCGTGTGCGATTCCCCACCACCATCCCCTTACTTGCACTGTACCTCCCAGCTGATTTTTGGCCCATTTGAGGCCTTTTTCAGCCTCCCAGAGGCTTGAGGAAAGCCTCTGCAGGCTTTGCAGGATGAAAAATGGACCCGTTTCAGCACTTCCGGTATTTCCAGAAATACAGGAAGTGATGAAACGGGCCTATTTTTCGGCCTGCAAAGCCTGAAGAGGCTTTAGTCTCTGGCAGGCCAAAAAAGGCCTGAAAATCAGTTGGGAGGCGCACACATGCGCAGTGAAATATGTTTGCCTGGGGCTCGTGTGCCCACACAAATGTCTCTGCATGCCACCCATGGCACGCGTGCTATAGGTTCACCCTCATGGATATAAGGTTTCCAGTCTTTCAAAAAAGTATTTGTTTTTTCTTCTTCTGACCATCAGATCAGTTTTGCCATTTTTTGTGATTCCTGACATTTTCACCCTCCATTTTGTCACGTTGGGGGAATTCATTATTCTTCCATCACTGTGCATTATTCCGAGGGGAGCATTTTAGCAAAATATTTAGCAGCAGCACCCCAGTTGCATCCTGCAGAATTTCACCTGCTCCCTTGGCAGTCTGCAGCACTGCGTGGCTTTGGATGAAATGTACTCCGAGACAATTGCTGCCATTCTAGAATTCCCCAGATATTCTCAAGAGGAGAAGAGGGCTGGTATCCCAGGGCATCTACAGCTTCTATGACAAAACAAGGGTGGCTGTGGTCCCTCCAGTTTCAGTGCCACCTATTGACCTAAGAAGCCTTCTCTTCTTACAGATGGTGAGCTTGATGGGTTGGTTGAAGTGACTGGATGAGACCCTCAAGTACCTGAGCTGCAGTATCCTGTGCTGCCTCATTGAAAGGAAAGAGGATAATAAAGGAGCGGTGGGAGGTTACATCCATCTGATACGCCTGAACAGTTCACAACAGATGCTCTTAATATCACTGGTTTTAGGGGCCAACTTCACACTGATGGTAACCTACATCAAACATGAACCTTATACCACAAATTCTGGGTTCTGATTCTCTCCTGGAGCATTTTACAGGTTGCTAGAATGAAGCAATTCTCCAGCAAAGCAACTTCAATGGCTATAGAAACTGGAAATTATTTCACTTGATGTCCAACCTTTAAAAATAATTAATATTAAATTACTTCCTACATCTAAGATTTTTTTTTTTTTAAATTTGCTGTGTCTTCTGATCACTTGCTATGTATTCTTGTGTCTGGTGCTTCTAATTTTGAGGCAAATATTATTCTCCAAAAATTCATTGCAAGTGGTTTTTTCCACAGCCTTTAAGAATAGAATAGAATTCTTTATTGGCCAAGTGTGGTTGGACACACAAAGAATTTGTCTTGGTGCAAATACTCTCAGTATATATAAAAGAAAAGATACATTAGTCAAGAATCATAAGGTACAACACTTAGTGATAGTCATAGGGTACAATAAGCAATCAAATCATACTAGGAAACAGTCAATATAAATCGTAAGGATACAAGCGACAAAGTTACAGTCATACAGTCACAAGTGGGAGGGGATGGGTGATAAGGAGTGATGAGAAGATTAATAGTAATAGTAGTGCAGACTGTGTACTAGTTGAACAGTGTTGAGGGAATTATTTGTTTAGCAGAGTGGTGGCTTTCGGGGGAAAAGATGTCCTTGTGTCTAGTTGTTCTGGTGTGCAGTGCTATATAGCATCGTTTTGAGGGTAGGAGTTGAAACAGTTTATGTCCGGGATTTGAGGGGTCTGTAAATAAGGCAAGGGTGTCAAACTCAATTTCATTTTTGTGTTTGACCTCAGGGCCGGGTGGGCATAGGCATGGCCAGCTCAACGTCACTTGTGTCACGGGCAGCTGTGGTAGCCCGGGTGGAGTTGGGGGATCCATTGTCTCCAGCAGAGGAAGGTGGGACCAGGGAGAGCTCTGTTTTTGGACTCTGTCTTCAACTGCGATGGCTTCCTGAAGCCCTCTGCCAGCGAAACCGGAGTTCTTGAGCTCCATTTTTGCTGGCAGAGGCACCACGGGCCAGTCCTTTGCTGTTTCCAGAGTGGCCCTGTGGGCCAGATCTAAGCACCCCATGGGGCGGATCCAACCCACAGGCCTTGAGCTTGACACCCCTGCTTTAAGGCATTGTCACATTTTCTCTTAAAAGTGTAGCTATCAAGCTCAAGCAAAGACCAGCCAACCTAAAAGCCCTTCTCTTCTGGGGCTAAATGAACCAGTTGCTAAATGAGGATCACTTGTACTTTATAGCAATACATATAGGTTTATCCCTATATATAGTTTACATGAAGTTATCTGTTACTGAGCATCAATCAACATGAAACATATCCACCTGAACAATAGTTGGGAAATTTCTTCAGGAAATGACATTGATCCAGAACTATTTGTTAGTGATACCATTAATGCTGGCCAGGACGTACTTCTACAGTTCTTTGGTTCATACTTGTATTGCAAAATATTTTCATATTCTAATCTAGAGAGAGAAAATATTCTATTTTTGGAGGATAGAAATTTTCAATTCTGTCTGTTGCTTTTGAAATGTTATATTTCAATAAATCTGTATATCCATTTTTCTGCCTTCTCCCCTCAAAGGAATGACCTTCTAAGACTGTAGAGTTTGCTCTGATTTAAGGATCAGCTACCTCCCATCATACATCCCAGGGCCAAGATGATGACATTCTTCCTACAGACTTTTCTTCTAGCTTGCTTTGTACAGACCAAGATCTATCGTCGCTGTGAGTTGGCTCATGTCTTGAAGAAGAATGGGATGGATGGATATGAAGGTTACAACCTAGCCAGTTGTGAGTGCATTTCCTCACTGGATAACAAGTACTGAAGTACTGAAAATTGGACTAACGGCCTACACTAAATATTCCCAATGTAGTTTTTATTAAGCAGCATTTCCTGTTTTTTCTCCATAAGTAGGTACTGCTTTATTTGCTCTGGAACTTGCTCCAGCTTGTTAGATCTCTTCCCACAATTTCACATGATTAATGCCTCTTCTTTCCTGGATCTGAATAGTAGTATTTGAAGCTAACAGGTTCTCATTTCTGGTTATGCTCATCAAATCCCTAGCAAGCCATCATTTGAGACTTTCAAGAAGGTCCCTTCCAGCTCTGATTATCTGTAAGTTGCAAACTGGTGTAGTCAGATCTGACTGCTGGCTACTATAGAATAGAATAGAATAGAATAGAATAGAATAGAATAGAATAGAATAGAAT